GCGGCGACGGCGGCGGCGGTGGGGAGCGGCGGCGGCGACGCGCGAGGAGGTGCGGCGCGGCGGCGGCGGCGGCTTGCCCTAGGTCAGGACCTTCAAGATGATACCATGTAGACGGAAAAGTTTACAATACAATAATCGTTGTATTGATGGAGTGCTGGTGCACGTATATATATTATAAGGAAAGGCTTCTATCTCAATTATACAAAACTAGAAGGTGGGTCACAACTCTAATGCATGTGCAATACAAAACACATATTCAACACGACCGCAAGAGTGGCTATCTCGTGCTTTTTGCTCTATCGTGAGGCTAGCCCACAACGTGCTAGAGCTCACGGTCATGGCGGAGGTGGTATAGTGAGGAGAAGCAGGAGCGAGGTGGTGTGGTGTAGATCGTGCTGGCACGCCGCTTTAATACTAATATCAGTGAGAGGCCACCTCTGCTCTGGATTGGCATGAATGTGGCGCTGGCGTTTTGATCGACCATTAGTGGCATGAATGCATGGCAACTGCTTTACGTGGGAGAGTTTTTCGGGTGGGTTCGGAGTGTCCGGTGCATACATGGCAATAGTTTGAACGCCTGCAAAGCCATCCCAGTTAGCCTTTATTTTGCGGAAAAATTGATGTTGGGACCAGTCCACGGACTGATGGAATACCGTGTTGAATGGCAAATCGTATGAAGACTGCTTTGTTCGAACGAATGCGGATGGTTTAAGGATCCGAGTTTGAGATGCCTTTTGTGATTTTAAAAAAGTTGCGTCCATAAATTTAAGGACCAAACGTGAACTGAGTGTAGCTCAAATGGTTAGGCTATTTATGATGAAACCAGTCCATCAAGGTTTATTTCTAAGCTTGACACATGTGCTCGTATTTTTCTAAATTTATTTCGATCCAGCAATGTTCATTTAGTAGGAGGAGTATAAGATATCCTCGAGGTATATCTTAGAGGTGTTCATAGGAATAAGATGTGTGTATGCATGTTTGTATGATGAGTATATGTGAGCAACTCTAATTGTATAATAGCGTTTTAAAAAAAGTTTAAAGACCAGACTTGTACTCCCTCCGTCCCGACAAATATAAGACGTTTTTAAGCTATATATGTTAGATTGTAAAAAAGCAAATATACAAAGATGAACATTGTTTCACGCGCACCAACACGAATAGTAAATTCATAAAAATTAATGCTTTTTAAAAAAAAACTGAAATTTCACGTTACGAAACTTAGTCGACCATTCTACTTAGGTGTGAAGTTTTGTGATGTATTGATGTCCGTAATGTTCTTGTAGCGAAAAATTAGAACTGTATTTATCAAACAGTGTTTTTTTTATATAGCTTTGATTTTGTCATTTTTGCCCAAACTACCACGAATGTGGTTTCTTCATGAAACTTCATATGAGTTGATTATGTATATTACAAAAATAAATTCGGATTTTGTTTTAATTTTCCTAGCATTTTTTCGAGTTTACTATTTTACCTACTGCTCCGTTTCATCAGCAAGTGAAAGAAAAACTGGCTCGGCAAGCTCAGTCCACACTCCGCACTCCACTACGATAGTACGATGGCGAGAGCGCCGCGACCTCGTCTTCGAGTCTGAGCCACCTATGGTGCCGCCGTGAACCACCGCCCCCGGTGCGGCCGGAGCTTCGCCGGTGGAATTCTGCGCCGCGCCTCCCTCGTAGCCCGACTCGCCCGCGCGGGACTCTGGTCGGTCTCCGGCTTCAAACCCTAGCTGCTGGCTGCTGCTAGTACGAAGGCTGCGGCTTCAAACCTTTGCCATCGCCCTCTCTGGTTGGTACATCTCTGCCTCCTTCTCCGTATTTCTCTATGCAATCAGGGGCTCAGGGCCATGTTTTATGTTTAGAGGGCTCAAATTCCTTCTGAAGACGAGGGTTTACCGGCCTGCATTTGTTCGTGATTGGAAATTGACCTTCTTGTCAGTGAAGTGATGATTGGAAATTCTTTCCCCAAGAATGACTAACCAACAGTTTCCACTAGCTTACGCTTGCAGGCCACAATCTATTACATCGATGTCCTGTTTTGGTACTTCTTGCCATTTGCAATTTTTGAACTGCATAATGGGCGTCCGCTTTCTTTCATGAGACGACTTGTTTTGCCAACGCTCTACCATCCAATGCTCACAATTGCCCTGCACCTCATTCTGTAACATAATTTAGATATTTGATTTGATGATGTATATATATAAATTGCCCTGTACATAAATAAATTCAGAATTCATAAGGACAATTACTGTTTAATAGCTGCAAAGTTATGCCCCCTAGTGAGTAACTTTACCTTATTTTAAAACTATGAGAAAACTTAATCAGCTGGCATTCCAGTTCCCTTGTAAATTAAGCTTATTATTAGATACTTAGTGTTGGATTTGTTTTCACACTTACAGGCAATAGAGCCATGGCCAGGGGAAAGCAGCAGCAGAAGAAGACATTGGATCAGTCGAGATATCCTGAAATTAAGAAGCAGAAGCAATGTAACCCATATGTTGCTGCTAGATCTATCTCTTGCGACTGCAATTTTTGGGACACGAGGCAAAAAGATCTATATGATCAGATCTATCGTGAAAAGAAAGTTTTTTAGCACAGATTTGTGGAGTGGTCAGATATAGCTGATGCTGAAACATGTCCTTTTGACTTGTCCACTAAGTATGAGGATCTTGGTCTCAAAGGTCTGGCTAGTAACAACTCATCTTGGGTTTGGAATGAAGATGTTGTGAGACAATTTTATGGCACCCTTTACGTTGATCCTGATGGTAGGGAAATGAATTTCATGATAGGCTCGCAGCATTGTTTTGCCACCAAGGAAGATCTTGAAAAGGCCTTGCTCAAATCTCTTACTTCATTATATAGTCTCATATGTTAGAGCCAACATGTACAAATTCAGGAGTCCTTTAATGTCTAGAGCTGAGATGGACTTGTTTTGTTTTCTCTGAAAGACAAATGATCTGTCTGGTTGGTGTGGTCAATATTTTTGGGTAAGAGACATATCCTCTTCTTATACCCTTTTTGCAGTCTGAATCAATCAGAAGAGTCAAAAGACAAATCTGGCCTGGGGGTGTTTAATTTTCTTGCATTGGCAACGACCTGTCGAGATCAAAAAACTCGACTAAGACTCTGTTTTTCATTTGATTGTTCTTACATAGTAATGCTTATGCACGTCGAAATATGCACTGTGTTATCAACACTGATATCTCCCATCATTTATGTGTTTAACAGGCTGTGAGAAGGAAACCACGCAGAGGAGAGGACCTCTGGTACTCAAGGGACCAGTTCATACCGATATGGAGGTCGGTGCTGAGCGCGCAGTTTATCACGAGGTTGATTCCATCCTATGTGCCGAAGAAAGAGTTTGCAGATCTTCAGCCTCAAACTCAAATCCAGCTTGGCTTGTTGGAGAGAAGGTATATTTTCTACAGTCCATTCTCTGCAAGCAACTGCCGATCAACCAGAAGGGGATTTGGGCCCGCCGCGTCAACCCTCCTGAAGACGCTGAAGCGCGTGTGATGATCGAGCACTGGCGAGAAGGTATAATAGTTTTACTTGTTAGTTGAAGCTTGTGAACATAGACGTGAATGGAAGGAGTTAAGACACCCGATCATCCCCTGGAAGATTTCAGTTATCTACTTCCATGTTGGGGCTCATTTAGCATGAACTAAACTAATGCTTAATAGATTGTGCAATGTGCTTCGACCATGAATGCTTGATCAATTGCCATGATTAGTGATGGAACTGTGCTTGGATGTCTTGGCTGTTACTGTCTATCTATCTAAAACTGTTGTTAGCTGTTTAAGAAGTGGAGATATGAGTATGTTTCTGAGGCTTGTCATGGACCTGATAAGGTGTGAAACATGCCATGTTTTGGCTTGAACCTTGACTGTATTTACTAATTAACCGAGCTCAATGGTAGTATTGTCATTCTGACACCAGTTTCGGGTTCATCTGCAGAGAACAAAATTAAGGCAAAAAAGGTTCTTACTGGACAACCTTTTCATACTTTTGTGCAGGCCCCAATGAACAGAATTTTGCAGGAAAGTTTGCATAATTACCGTGTATTTCCACATAGATAAGCAAGAATATCATATTATTTCAAAAGTGCATTTGGAAACGTCGAAGACATTCTCCCTCATCTTTTTTCCTCAGCAAAAAAGAAAAGATAAGGGAGAATGTCTTCGACACTTTGAAATGCACTTCTGAATAATATAAGATAAAAAAATTTCAACTGGATGCTGGGCAATTGCCGTAATAAGAAAGGCAACATGATTAGAGGTTGCTACCATGGCCGACACCAACCATGGTGAGAGCATGGCCACCACCAACCATCGTTTTTTTTGTACATGCGTAACCCAGTGAACAAAACCACTAATTTGATATGCTTTTGTGTAGACATTAAAAATAGGGTACTTATTGGGGCAGAGTGCTACATTGACATTAACAAGTTCATTGGGAATTTGGGACCATCGTAAAGGCATGGAAGAAATATATTGCTCGCATAAATAGAAGACCTGTGTACATACAAACAGCAAACCCCATATGGTTTTACACAAGCAACAAATGGAATGGACCGACAGACGACACCGAGAGTCTTCCCTAATGAAGCCGACAATGTAGTCACAATAATAATTGGATGAAAACAAAATGCAACAATTCGAAGAACTTTGACCTTTTTTTCATGGGTGAAATATGTGTATCTGCATAATCCATAGTCCCGTCTCCACTTGTATGAGTTGCTTGTTTGTCTCAACCGCTGATCGCCAGGGCCTCTGGCTGCGGTGTCACAGCGATGTCCTTCACCACACTCTCCACCTTCGGAGGGCCAGAATGCCGCCTCATTGGCGAGGGGGGCACCCCTCCAGCTGGGAAGGACAGCCTCTTCTTGGCTGACCCAACGCTAATAGAGCCTCCTTTCTCTGGTGTCGTCTCTGCACTATCGATCAGTGGCGACCCCTGGAGGCGGGACTTGGCCCTAGCAGATTTTGTGGCAGCCATGTAGCTTGGGACTGATGGAGAGCTTGCGAGGCTCTCGTCATCCCGCACTGTTGAGGTGGCTATGCTGTGCCGCCTTGGTCGCTCGGACTGCACACTGAGCACGCTCCTTGCATCGTCATCCACCTGTGAAATCCCGTTCTTCGGTGTAGCAGGTTTCTTCTTCACAACTATTGGTGTCACTTTGGCAGTGGGTGTGGAAGGGGACAGCCGGGAGGCTGGGCGGGTCAGCTTTGGAGTCGTCGGTGACGACTTGTCTGGCTTGGAGCCCCTACGGTTGAAGGCTTTAGTGATCTCGCCCTCTCCAAGGTTCAAACTCGTGCTCTTCACTGATCCCTGGTCAATGTTGCTTTCCTTGCCGGTTCCAGTGCGTCCGGCCTCAGAAGGCTTTGCTGCCATCCAGCGCTCCAGCCAGCTCCAGCCCCAGTGTGGGTTGTTTGGGTCTACAAACATTGGGTTGGAGGACCTTGAACTGCTCTTCCACTGCATAGTGCAAATTTTCAAGCATTTTAAGAATGACATAGTCGAATGAGATGAAAGAAGATTGGCATCTATTTTTAAGAATCGGGAAGGCCTACCTGATGGGAAAACGCGTATGCGAGCGCTCTCTCTCTTCTTATTGCAGCCTCTTGCCTGCTTATTAGACTTGCTTCGATCTTCTCCTTGGATTGAGTGGTGTCGTCCCAGTGCTCCCCCATCTGGTATTCATTCAAAAAATAGAGTATGCTTAATGCTCTCACTTAAAAGATGTAATTGCCCACGACTGCGAGATTTGGAGCAAAAGAGAAAGCGATACTTCTGGAAATTGGAGTACTCATCAAGCAAAATTCTTTCGTGCAATAACAAAAACTAGTAGATGCCTAGCGAGTTGAGTGGACAACAGTGGCGCACACAATATTTTTACTGATGAAGGTTTTGAGATGGTTTGCCTACCCTCAAACTGTCCAATTCTTGTTTCAGCAGGAGCTGGCGCTGGAGGGCTTGGTTCTCCTCAGACATCTTCAGCCTTCTTGAACGTATCTGTGACTGCACCCGTGCGAGAGTCTGCATACAGCGCAGAGTACTTGCAGCTTGACGCTTAACCGAATTACCCTCGACCAATGACTTCAATCTAACAAGGCCCCTCAAGGCTCGTAGTGCCCTCCTTGCCTGCATTATTACATTGACTCTCAGAATATGTATAGCAATCCTGGTTTGGAGAAAAAGGAGTATGTATAGCGGAAGAAAAGCATAATCTTATTCAGTAAATAAAAATTTCACAGGATATGGTATCATGTTTTTGGAATGGAACTACAAAGTCAAGTTCAAGACATGCTACCTTTGTATCAAGGCTATACCACAAAGCAATGCCATCAACATCAAAAAATGATTAAAAAATCAAATGAATAATGAAAGGTGGCTGCCACCAACTGACAGATGTGCATGGATTATTCTGTGATATTTGGCAAGATTTTTTTTGTAGGCCCTCTTCAACAGCATATACAGAGTAAATGAACATTAGTGAGTAAATCATAAGGGGCGATGAGTGCTTTTAAGGAGTAAGAGAGGATTGGTTTGTCGAAAAAAGAACAGAGGATTCTGGTAGGCAAGAATACTGGCTTGTTGAACCATAAAAGTTGATTTACCATGCAAAATTTGTGAACAGAACAGAGGAACTGTAAGTAGCTAAGAAATTTCACCAAGAGGCCTCAATTCAAATTAAAAGCAACTGACCAAGTTGTTGAGCTGATAATACCTAAACCTCAGAAGAGGATAAGAGAAAGTTTTGAGGAAGGCCACCATGGGGATTTGCTTGCGTGTTCAGGCATGTTCGTACAGCGACATAATCCATAAACAATACAAGAGTTTTTCTTCCAAAGTTGAAAAAATGCAAAGACCGGATCAGCGGCCATCAGAAAATAAAAGACTGCATGCAAGCACGTTTAATCTTTAATTTTTATAAATTTCATGACATAGTTAGAATGAAACCAGCCATTTAAGTATCCCAACTGTCACAATGAGCTCACAAAACATTCCAAATGGCATGAAATTGCTAATTCAAGAGCTGATGTCAAATTACCAGGTATCCCCTGAAGGCGGTCTGGATCTTGATTGCTGCTAGCTCTTCCCTCGATACACCAGGTGGCAATGCCGACGATGTCTGCGCAGGAGCATCAGGGGCTGCCTCCACGGTCACATGCTTGCTCTGCTCCTGCTCCTGCTCCAGCTCAACATCACGGACCTGAACCTCCTCAGTTTGGTGCGGGGATGGAACGGCGGGAGGCGGCAGCGGCGGCGGCATCGAAACATTGACTTCCAAGGAAGTGGAAGGTGTTAGATCTGGTGGACTGGGGTCTCTTGCAGCCAACTTCTTCCTCAGTTTCTGTACATTTGAAAGGCAAAGCTTGGGTTGTCATCACAATTCAGTTCAAATTACAGTACTATGATAACACAATCGCAAAGACAATACTAGTTTTATCACAGATATGTGAAATTAACTACTGGACAATCCAATTGTAGGTGGAAAGATGGTATCCCCTATTTATTACAGTTATTACTGAATGGCAAGTAAGAAATGAAAAGATGTTGTCCAAACATGACAGCCCAACTGAAACCATCACCATGAATAGACAGGCTATCAAAACTAGTACTAGTAAGAAATCTCTGCAATTAATTGCTGGCGTGAGCAAAACAATATGCCAATTTCAAGATTCTGTTGCCTAAAAAAATCCCCTAGAGGAACCAATAAGCTGAACTGTTTGCAATTAATTCATGGAGGAAACAGCCAAATCCTGATCAGACCCACAGCAAGCTCACAGCAGCTAGCAGTAAAATCTAAGTAAATCCAGCACAAGAACTCCATAAATAAATTAGTAGAGAGGAGAACCCGAAGCAAGAGCCACCGCCACAAATTAATTATTACCTCCTCCTTCTTCTCCTTGGACTCAGGGCTGAACACCTTCTTGACGGCGCCCAGCCACTTGCCCTTCTTCCCCATGGCCCCAACAAATTCTTGGCCAACAAACACTCACCGACGGGAAGGAGGACGAACACCGGCCGGTCAGTCAGATCTGCGCCTCCCAGATCTATCACTAGTTATCCACGGAGCGGGGCGGGACGGATGCCGCGGCGGCAAGGCAAGCGCACACACAAAAGGGCGCGGCTTTACCGCTGCAGGCAGTCTGCAGGGGAACCACCGCCAGTCCAACCAAATGGATCTTTCTGCGGAAGCAAGGTGAGGAGGGCGGGCAGGGCGGGCGAGTGCCCTTGCGGTGCGGTGCGGTGGCGAGCGGCAACTAACTAACGGGAAGGATGGGAGGGTGTGTCAGGTTGGCGTGAGAGGACAGCTGAATTGCTGCGGGTATATCTGCGGGGATGGCATCATGTGGGAGGTGGTGGAGCGGGGTTGGAGGGCGAGGAGCTGGGAATTGTAGCTGGCTGGCTGGAGCCTGGAGGTGGTAGGACTGACAGGAGGGCACAGCGGGGAGCTGAGAGGTAGCTGCTGGGGTGGTGAGGGGAGGGAGAGTGAGGGATGGTCCGTGTGCACTTGCTTGGTGCCTGTTGGGATGCTCTCTCTCTCCCTCTTTGGGGTTGGACAGCTTGGATACAGAAGAGGGAAGGGATTGGAGTGGGAGTGGTATCTCCACTTGGTGCTCTTTATGTTTTGGGATTGGGTGCTTGGGTGTTTTGGGTATTCTTGGATGCACTTTAATGTTGATAGGATCGGCTGTTCGGCTGGATGGGGATAAACTATCCGCAAGAGATTCCAAATACTGGTGCAAATACTCCCACGGAATTGCTAATTTATTTTCCATAACTAGCGGCAAGTGATCTGAAATGTCGGTGCAAATACTTCTACAGAATTGCTATTTTTCAGTTGAAATGTTTTATTTTCAGCTTCAGTCAACATTTTTTTTACTCTCATTTCTTCTCTTTATGTGCCTATTGGTTTCCATATATTTCTTTCATTTCTGTGTTTTGGCTATTGGGCATTCTTTTTTTTAGGGGAGCTAATGGATATTCTAGTTGGTAGTTTTGGTCCCTGTTTATTTATTTATTTTGGATAATAGACTTTGGCATGGATGGTTTTTTTCTTGTAGTTGAATTACGGTTTTATTTTACTTCTCTTCTTTTATAATTGTTTTTATCTTTTTGTTAGTTGTTAGTTCCTGCAAGAGTCGAGTCCATCGATCACCAAAATCCGAATTTGGCTTTAGAGAGTGTATGTTTTAATAATATGATAAATGCAAACTCGCTTGTTATCTGAATAGTTTGTGGTGAAATGTGATAATTAGGTACACTGAATTTTCATTGTTTTTGGTGCTATTTATCTAGAGTAAACAAACAGTCCATTACACTTGTTTTACAAGCTCTAGACCATGTAAAGCATAACAAGCAAGGTCATGATTGAGGTTTTGTAATCATGTCAAATGGGTTTTTATTTAATAGTGACATGTGTTGATGTTTGTATGGTGCAGCATTTTGATTGATACCATATTAAAAATCATTCAAGTTGATAGTGTCACGTTTCGTTGTTTGTATGGTGCAGCATTTTGATTGATACCATATTAAAAATCATTCAAGTTTATAGTGTCACGTTTCGTTGTTTGTATGGTGCAAAAGTTTGATGATGCTGAACAGGAAATCAGTCAATTGTCAAATTGGCAGTCCCTGATCCTAAACTCGGAAATGAGGGCTTGCTTATTTTTTTAATAGATAAAATTTATGAAAAATAATGCATGCATTTTTGATTTGTGGAACTGAAAACATAGAACTAGAAAAAGAAACTGAAGTTGAATGTCGTTGGCATGATGGGTTTTACAGGATCGGAAAACATAATATGTGTAAAATATGCAGTTTGATTGCACCACAGAAAATAGTCAAAATCCCCTTGAATTTTACTAAAAGTGTGCGTGTTATAGTTTTCTTTTACTGATGTGCATGTTATAGTTGTCACCGAAACAAAACTGTGATGTTGTATTCAATGGGAAATTTTCTTTGAAATTTTAGGTAAAATATATCATAGCAAAACTCTAGGTTTTCCAGTCATACAAACCAAATAAGCTCCATATAAAGAAATCTAAGAAATATTATCCTCTAAAAAAATATTTACTAAAGAGACCCTACATGTTTTCCAATAAAAAGGAAATAATAAGCTCTCTTATTTAAGTTGAGGGTATTAACCCAATTGAAGTGGCATTGTACTACATCCAATCCAGCTAAGTTTCTTAAGCACCTCCCAAAGCGCTTGAGTGTTTATCTTTTCCGAACTACCAGAAATATGCACAACCTGGCATTTGGTGCCTGCATCGACTAACAAAATAGTGCCGACAGTAGTTTCAAAGTTAAATTCTGCATCACACAAACAGTACAATATAATTATATAAACATCCTAACCTTAAATTATGTGATGTACTATGTACTCATATGAGTAGATTATAGTAAAATAGGTGGTTAGCTGATAATTGTGTGCAAGGACACTGTAACCACCACGGTACTGTGCATCCACCCCCCTATAAAGAGAAAACAAAACCTAAAATATGGGCAGCCCTAAACTGCTAGTGCACAAAACAAAAACCTACTATCATAATATGCCTTGGTGGCAGGGAATTATTTGGCGGATGATATTTCGACGTTACGCCAACTCATCGCCAGTTCGCCACTGTGTATATCTCTCTTTCTTGTTCATACTTTGGCTCCCACATGCTTGCGTGTTGTGCTGGCTGAGACTTTGCTAATTAAAGTCTAATTCTTATATCATAAGTTTTTCTACAGGTACACATCAAATAATTCTCTTTAGCTGTTCACCAGATCCTAAATTATATTACAGATAAATCCAAATAACAGCCTGGTGAATTCAGTTATATATTCCTTGGTTGTACTCTAAACATAAGAAATTAACAATTGCCAAAGGGCACCCTGCAAAAATAAAAATGCCAAAGGGCAAGATATATCTATCTATGAAAGATGGGCAGAAGGTCAAGTACAGATATGCATGTGGAGTGATATCAACCTGAGGTTTGTCTCTTTGTTATCTTAGCCATTAGCCATGTGGATACTTAATTATAACAGGCTGCGCCCTAAGAAATTGATAGTTAATTTTTCAATGACCTGACACACATTAACTACAGGTCAAGCACTGTAATCATGGTCAAGGAGACACTTACACGGACTGATTATATAACTGATCGCCTTTCGTTGTGTTCCCCATCGGAGATTAGAAAATGTCACGAGTTGCAAAGCGACAGCCTAACGCGCCCTTATGCACCGGATTCATGCAATGCACGCATTATTTTTCAACTAATCATCTTAGAAAAGTTTAGGTGTGTTTGATTTTTCGCAACAACTGCCATCAGGCTCTGGTGTGAAAACAAACCAGGCCGATCGACTCGTCTCTACCGAATCTTGGCGGCAAATTGATGATGATGAATCCAATGAACCATTACCAAAACTTGAACCATATCATGTTATCATGTTCTTGGCAAAACAAAACAAAAGTTGAACCACATGCTAGCCTTTGGGATTGGAGCCATATTCAATGGCCCCGAGCTCACAATGTCGGTGCCATTGCGCTAACATCGGTGTACAGGGTCGACTCACTGACATGTTGCTACCTTGCAGTCGTCGGCACGACAAGTGTAGTTCTGAAACGGTGACAATATGGGGTAGTGTGAGGCCGACCTAAGGTGTGAGATGCCGTTCAAATGGAGCCGGGGTGGGAGCCCTTTTCCTCTAAAGAAAATATGTCGTTCAAATTTCGAACGTGGTTGGTGTTCAAAAATAATTTCAAATGGGGTTAAAATCATCGTAATTTCCCCGGCTTCCTACCAAATACAGTTCCTAACTTGGGACTTGGTCGTGTATGCGAAAGCCGTTAAACTTTCGTGCTGCTTTGCTTTGAGACAAAACCTGACTGTCCCGTGATTGTGGATCAGTCAAGCTAGGCACATATGGCTAGCTCTGTATCTACTCCCCTCAAATGATGCATGCTGCCTTTTTTGCATGTCTCATGGAACTTCATTCGGATAGCTAGGGCCCACCACACCCATGATTCGGGAAATTAACTACAGTTAGTAGTGTTGCTACTTGCGGCTACTAATAATGGTGTTGGTTTAGTGGGTGAGAGATTAGGTAATCCCTTCTTTTCGATTTATAGGACTTATCTTAAAATTTTAGTTTTTTCATGCTATAAAGCTTAATTTGATTGTTTTTCATCACAAGTTTAGATTCTAAGATGCATTAAATTATTGCATGCAACTATTAAGAGAAAATTAACCAATGCATGTACTTTATGCATGCATGCATTGTAATTAATACATTGGTAGACATAATTTTTTAAGAAAAACAAGAGCATTAGTTGAGTGCTTTTGCAAATTACAAAAAATATTCCACCATTCATCATCTACCTTGATTGGTGAAATTTTTGAATTGAGCCATATAAACCGAAAAGAAGGGAGTAAAAAATATCAGTTCAAAAACCGAGGTAAATGTTAGTCTGAATACTGCTGGTCAGGGCATCTACAACACCGACTCTCAAACCGCCCGCATACGTTCGCACCATGTGGTCCAGACCATGGAAGTCATCCAGTGTGGGACGTGTATCGGTCCGCTGAATGGTTCGGATGTGTTTTCTCCCGCAAATTGGAGACGAAGTGGTGGTGGTGGGGTGGGGTGGGGGGAGGGGGGTTGCGGGAGTCCGGACAATAGCCACGTAGGATTCCGACACCCCGTCCCACTCAATCCCCCCTCCCGGTCTCATTCCTTCCACTCCGCCCCTTTTTCCCCTTGATTTGCATCCGCATCCTCCACCTCTGCCATCGTTGTTGTACCTCTCCGGCCGCCGCAGAGGCATTGCCGGACGTTCGCAACTAGCACCGACACGTCTACTTGCCTTTACGACGGCACTGTCCATCCTGGAGCCGTTTGTACCCAGATACACTCCGTCCTCCTGTTGACGACCTCCATGTCGGACACCACGTCCGGCAGGTGTTCGGTCAA